GTGGGGCAGGGGGGAAGGGTTGGGTGGGGGTGGTGCGGGGGGAGGGGGTGCCTGAGGTTTGTCCTGCCTAGGGCAGCACAAAACCAGGATACACCACTGGAACTACCAGTAAGTTGTCAAACCATTTGCAAATGGGTAGACTATTTAACTGAGGGGAGTGCCAGGCACGCTGTAGTGATTATGGGCCTGGGAGTAATCCTTTAAGAAAATAAAAGATTATCACACCTCACAACAGGTTTACAATGAATTAAAAGCTAAACCTAACAAAGCATGTTCAGTATTATTACTTACTCAAAAAAAAAGAAAAGTAATCATAACATTCAAAGTTCAGTCTTGAGAATGCATAACGGAACAGGCCCCTTTCTGGTTTGCACACTAATATTACAAAGCATAGAACCATGTACCACCATCCTCTCATATGTGGATAGCAAATAGATTGCAGATGATGCACACAATGTTCAGTTATGTCATATTGCTTACGGCTCTGTACATGCCATTTAAATAATGGAACATTACCAAAAATGTATTTTTTTGATACTGCCAGATGTGTAACTATATGGTTGCGTTTCTTGTTTGTTCTTGAATGTTTGTGCCCTTACAGTTTATTATTTTATATTTTGTTTTTTGTACTTAACAGATTGTATCCATATTTCACTATCATGACATTCCTCCTAATTGTACAGCACTAGTAGTTTATATAATGCTTTTACAGGTAACTGGTGATAATGAATTTATTGAAAAAATAAGTACTAAACAGAGGATACGGAGTGTGTTAGCCTGAGTGTGCAGTGCAGAGTGTGTTCGTGTTTAATCCTATGTAAACACTGCAATTTTTTTAACCCCTTAAAGGGCCACGCCACACCCCAGCTTGCTTAAAGGACCACTATAGTGCCAGGAAAACATACTCGTTTTCCTGGCACTATAGTGCCCTGAGGGTGCTCCCACCCTCAGGGTCCCCCTCCCGCCTGGCTCTGGAAAGGGGAAAGGGGGTTAAACTTACCTTTTTCCAGCGCTGGGCGGAGAGCTCTCCTCCTCCGATCCTCCTCTTCTCCTCCCCGTCGGCTGAATGAGCACGCGCGGCAAGAGCTGCGCGCGCATTCAGCCAGTCACATAGGAAAGCATTCATAATGCTTTCCTATGGACGCTGGCGTGCTCTCACTGTGAAAATCACAGTGAGAAGCACGCAAGCGCCTCTAGCGGCTGTCAATGAGACAGCCGCTAGAGGAAATAGGGGAAGGCTTAACCCATTCATAAACTGCTATGTTTATGAAAAAATGGGTTAACCCTAGAAGGACCAGGCACCCAGACCACTTCATTAAGCTGAAGTGGTCTGGGTGCCTAGAGTGGTCCTTTAATGGGTGAGGAGTACCCTAGTTTAAGCCCCGTTTATAAAAGTACTGATTTCTATGAGAAACCAACAGTTTCAGAAATTAACTAGGGAACTCTCTCTGGCTGTTAATCAAACACCCAGGGAGACTGACTTCCTACTTCTGTTAGCTCCCCTGAGCTATATCACCTAAATATTGATTTTTTGTTAGTATGTGGGAAGTTATATAGTTACATAGCTGAACAGAGACGTGTGTCCATCAGGTTCAGCCTTCCTAACATCTGTTTTTTGCTGTTGATCCACAAGACGATCAACAAGCAAAGAAAACCCCAACTTGAAGCACTTAAATTTTTGCAACAAACTAGGAAATAAAAATCGTTCTTGACCCCACAATGGCAGTCGGATTTATCCTTGGATCAAAAAGCTCTTACCC